AGCGTAACAAAACAAATGTTAATAAATTAATGTAAATAAAATCAGAAACCAATCTTGGGGAATCGTGGATCCCCAACACACTGCTCATTCGAGTGCACTCAGTGCGCCAATTAAACCATCCATCCATCCTGCTGCTACGGCCACTGTTCTTGCCACTGTCCATTATGAAACTCAACCCTGATACTGGCTACTCCCATCAGTATTTTGCACCAATAAACCTGTATGACTGTTTCTATGCCCTCTTATCATGTCCAGACATGCTACAAATGGTGACATCCGTTCTCACAAGGACCCAAAAAGATATTTTCAACAAATTGCCTTACTTACTCTGTCCGTCCCGTGTACGAGCTGGATAAATTTTTCGATGTGTGGCTCGTGACTATTTAAGATGCCCCGAGTGCGGTTGAGCCTAATCTCTGCTCAGCCAACAGGAAGGCCACATTAAGAGCACGCAGATCAGGCAGTATGCATACGATGTCGCTCGAGAACCTCGTACAGACGTTAAGGGATGACTTCGTTAGTCTGTTATGGTAAGACCGTTACATGCTTTATGAAGGAGTTAAATGAAATGGTCTCCAATTTATATCAAGGCATGTCCGAGGACGTGGTTAAGCATATGAGATCCGACATTATGTGTACCTCATCGACCGCTCCTTGGCAGAGGTAGGGAAAATCCCATCCCAGGACCCAAATATGACCTGCGCGTCTCCAGTTGGTAGCTGCCAATGGACATGACTGCCGTAAGGAGGTCTTAGATTTCCGTCTACGAGAGACTCGACAGGACACAAAACCCCTTAACGTTCATCAAAGCAGCTGAGCAATTCAGGTGTGTTACTTCCTTGCCCCGTTATTTATGCATCGCGTCTAGGTGGTAGACATTTTATTTCTGTTGGTTTATGTGACAGATCGACGCATTTTTCAGTCTATGTGGGGGCAGGTTGTTCTCTTGTTAACCCTCGACGGTGTCCTAGGCACGCGTTGCGGCGACGGATGTGTGGATGTGCCTCTTGCGATAGCAGGAAGCGAGTACCAGCACATTTTGTATTTGGGCACGAATATGTCATATGACGGAACATTGGGGTCCGATTTTCTAGATCGTTCCGTTGGGGAATATAGACGACTACGGGAATGCTTACGTCTAGGTTCGCATAAAGTGCTCGTTGCGTATAAACAGAACAATGGAGTTTTTGGAGCAGTTATACCACCGGTATACCCAACTGCGGAAGAGTTAGATCTCTTGGTAGGCACGAATGCATTCAATAAAGATTCCGATAGATCGCAGCTCCGGAGGCTGACTGAAGAATTTGCGGATATTTTCGCTTGGGATGGGGATGGCCCCTGCCGTACGAGTGCCACCCATCATGACATTCATTCAACAGAAGCCCATCCCATTAGAAATATGCCCCGTTGAATACTCGCAGAAGATCAGCAGGCAGTCTAGGGGGCTATTGAAGAGATGCTGCATAGGAGAATCATGAAACCCTCCACTTCTCCGTGGGCATCATCAATCATTGTTGTCAAGAAGAAGGACGGTTCTATTAGGTTACGCGTGGATAACCACAAACTTAACGGAGTTACGATAAAAGATATTTTTTCCCATTCCAGTCGACCATCTTTTCTACCGTGGACTTAAAGTCGGGCTGTTGTCAATCCAGCTCACTGACAGAAGTCAGCATTCGTAATTCCGTCTGGGCTCTATGAGTTTAAAACCATGTCCTTCTGCCCAGCAAACGCCCCAGCAAAATTTCAAAGTCAAATAAACACTATCTTGCCAAGGCTAATATCAAAGGAGTGTCTTGCATGTTTGAACGACGTGAAAGTTCATGCGAAAAATGGTGCTCAACACCTCAAGCTTCCGTAAAATGTCTTTGAGCAATTTCGTGGGGCAGGGCTAAAGCTTAGCTCGTCCAAAAGCTCGTTCCTTAGGGATTCGATTAAATTTCTGGGCGACATTTTCTTGAAAGAGGGTATTAGAATGGACCCGGATAAGACAGATAAGGGTAGAACGTGTCCGACCCCCTACCAATGCGGAGGAATTGCGTAGTTTTCTTCGGCTGGCGACTTATTATGGTAGGTTTGTTGAGGTCTTTGGGCACACTGCTTTTCCTCTTTACAAGCTTACAGAGAAGAAGCGCCGGTAGTAGTCGACGGAGCAATGCCAACAGGCTTTCTCTGAACTCAACGACCGTCTAACAGAAGTCCCGATTCTTGCCCTTCCTAATTTCGAGAAGGGCCATCCCCCTTTTATTTTGGACACCGGCGCGTCGAGCAGGGCAAATGGGCAGTGCTTTCACAGGTGAAACCTGATGGTGCTGAACACCCTATGGTGGTGCAGAGCCCTATCGAAAGTCAAATGGAACTATAGTACCACCAAACGACAAATGCTAGCACTGAAGTATTTCCTTAAGTACTACAAACACTACCTCATGGGAAGTGAAATCGTGTTGCATACTGATCATCACGTCTTGAGCTGGCTCCGTTGTTACAAAAAGATCCAACTGGTATATTCGCTAGGTGGTTGGGGATATTCAGTAAATTTAATCACAGGTTTAAGTAACCCCCTGGCAAAACGCACGAGAATGCAGACGCTCTGTCTCGGGTACTGGAGTCTACGGGCGCTGTAGCTGCAATCTCTATTTTGAGTAGAGTACCCTCGATAATTAAGGTGCGGCATAAGCAGAAGACTCCTACATAAGCCTTTTATATGGTAGGCAGTGTACGGGCTCGTCCAAGACGACTGCTAGGGAAATGGACAGTAACAGCCAGGAGGTACGTGCTCTTTGGTCTATGTGAAATAATCTTAGTTTCCGAGACGGTGTTCTCTACTACAGATTTGGGCCATCGTACCCCTTGCGTGTGGTCGCACCCAGAACCAAATTGTATCTGATCTACACCTTAGTCTGGGTCATCTAGGTTCACCAAAGATAGAGCGGGTTGCGCGACAACATTACTGATGGCCTGCCATGCGAGAGGATATCAACGACGTTTGTGGAAAAATGTCATCGATGTGGGGAAGTGAAGGCGCCACCTCGTGCGGCCAAAGCACCACTCTAACCCATGACGGCAGGATTTCCAGATGCGTTAGTTGGGCTAGACCTTATGGGTCCTCTTTACCAAACAGCGAACAACTACTGGCATATCCTGGTTATGGTCGACAAATAAATCAAGTGGTCAACACACTATCCCTAAGCAAAGCAGATGCAGCGTCAGTGGCAAAAGGGTTCGTAGCAGGAGGGGTGGCGGACCATAGGGTACCATATCAGATTCACACTGATCGGGGTGCTCAGTTTGATAGCTTGTTGCTTCTGAAGCTATGTGATGTTTTAGGCATCCATAGAAGTCGCACCAGGGCCTATCACCCTCAAGTAAATGGTCAGGTAGAAAGGACAAATAGGACGTTCAAGACGCTTTGAAGGTTGCATCGTGATAAATATGCGCTTCGCCAGTGGGATGAGGCTTTACTTGCTTGCTGTGCAATCGCCCACAAGCTTGATCCCAGCTGAAATGACCTTTGGACATAAGTTAAGGTTGCCAGCTGATGTTATGTCACCCCCACCCTAGAGGTCGAAAACGGATGTTCTTCCGAGTACGTTGCCGATCTACGGAAGCAGCTTCGCCGAGCCTTCGAAACGGCCTGATCGCAGTTAGTTCTGGGTCACAAGGTCCAGAAAGATTACTATGAAAAAGAAGAGCATGGTACATCAGTTGTAGAAGGCGACGTGGTCTGGGTAGGTATACCTAATACCGCAGGAGAGGGTAGAAGGTTGCAGGGCCCGTAGAAGGGTTCGTATATAGTTGACTCTGTGTTTAGCGAGGCCACATGCGTAATTCGCTACCGTGAGGATTCCTTTCGGTCAAGGTTTCACGGTTCACTTTAACAAACTCAAACCGTATCTGCCGGAGGTGGAAGGAAATGCGGAGGAACCCTTTGTGTACTGCGATCCACCCCCAGTTGACAGCACCATTGAAATAGCGACTGTAGAGGTTGATGAGAAGCTGGGGACAGTTTCCCCCTTGAGGGGGGCAGTGTAGCTAGGGGACAGAGGGCCGCCATCTTGGTGCTCAGCCATTGGTCGAAAACCAACGGCGCGCCGTGGCGGCGGCATCACGTGAGAGGTGGCGTGATTTTCGGTTGCGTGGGGCTGTGGGGTTTTGAATGGAGCGCCAAAGCTCGAGTAGCCAATCACCTCACGAGTTTGTCTTTCCATTTTTAGAAGCCAAGCCGGAGCCAATGGGCGGACACGAGAAACCCGGACAAGCTATATAAGCCGACTCTTTGTCCATTATGAACCTTCCCCCCGATACACGAGACTCCAATCAGTATTTTGTACCAAGAAGCCTGTATAAAAGTTCCTACGCCTTCTTATCCTGTCCAGGCATGTTGCGCACGCATAAATCACGGAAAAAATTCATTTTTCTCAAAAAAATGAATTATTCAGCCCCAAAAATCAACTATTGTTTCGCAAGTGTAGGCTGATTTTGTTAATTTTGAAACAGGTTATCACTGCGCGAAACGTAGCACTGTTTTATAATTAATTTTGACCAGAGTTATTTCTGCGTCTTGATAAAAGTACCACGTACATTATTTGGTAAAATATTAAAGGGTATGTATTCATTTGATCGACAAATTTTAAAAAAATGAACTTTCATTTTGGTCACCATGAGTGTGGACAAAACTTGCAATCATGCTTTCAGATTAGCTCGTTTTCAATCTACGATAAACTCAATGCTATTCTTATTGATCCTATAATCGATATTGTGTTCCTTCCGATAGCAAGACAGAACTTCACAGCTAGTTATAAGGGATGTGGTCCTAATTGTATGACCATAATTCAAGCATATCTCCTCAGAAATCCCTATCTGGAAGAAATCCCTATCCCTTAAGAAATCATTATTTATTTTTTAAAAAAAAATGTTGTTACAAATAGCCAATTTAAATATCAAATCATTAAGAACCACGTGGAGACCACTAAACCATATCACGTCGTAATTCTGGAAAATCAGTATCAGGCGGTGGTTCAATGTTTAAATCTTCAAGAGCGTCCGCTAATTTGAAAGGCTCCTATGAAATGGAAATAACACAAATTTCGTAATTCCAACATAATAATATTGGTTGAGATAAAAATTATGCAGATAGAATCGGGGTAAGCACGAGGTATCGGACAAGCACTCGACTAAAAATATCGAATTTTAATTCTTATCCCATAAAGAGAGGTCGCCATATTGATATATATTTTGCTTCATTACAATAATCGATGATTTCGGATATTTAAAATACTTGTTTTTTCTTGTATTTCCCCTGATTTTTGGAATAACATGCAGCCGATTAAAATAGATGCATTCTATTAACTAAGGAACACATACCTAAGTTACTTTTAATTACTGTGACATGACTGATTTAACCATTTCTGTCGTTGCATCGTGTGAAAAATCAGTTGTAGCGAAAAAAACCATCTTCGCATCATTAATGCGTGCTTTTTTTTATAAGCTATGAGAAAAGCCTTAGACACAATCAGTGAATGACATTAGAATATTTTGCACTAGAAACTTATAATTCGATTGGCAAAAACCAACTCTGCGTGATCCACGGGCACACAATTGACGTCAGATTTACACATTTTAAACCGTGACCTTGGGTCTTACCATTAACGTTGACTGACTAGTGAGATATGGTAAACACTGATCAGATAGAACCCCATTCCAAAGTCGCTAGTTTGTGTTAAACGAGTATAAGGGGAACCACATTATGATCAAACTTACGTTTGGTGAGTCTGGCAGTCTGGACTCAATATCCTGCAATAATGCAAAAAAACTTGTCAAGTAACAATAGTGTTCTAAAAAAAAACTTTTAGTTTGGTAAATTATCCCGGCAGTTGATACGACGACTTTTTTGAATTACCGCCAATTTTAAAAATCAATACTCGTGATTATTTTAACAAAGGATAGTAATTAAGCGATTTTATGCAGGCTACTACGACGTATGGTGCACTGCGGATCAAATCGACTCATACATGTTACGTTCCTTTGTCCAATTATATATTTTGACAGACTTTGACGAAACATGATGCAGCATAATTCTAATAAGCCGCTTCGTTAAAGTATATAAAACAAGAAGGTCCCTAAAATTACATACACTTCTTGAAAAGAGGCATCAGATTTCGAAAACAAAACGATTTTTTGCATAGTATTCTCCTACCGCTGCCCATGACGAAGCAGACTCATCAGATCGGAGCACTAGCCAATCAAATTTTCGCATAAGTCAAAATTCAGGTTTTCGGTCACTGATGATTCACCCAAAATACCAAATTATTTGGCCAATCAAAAAGCTGTAACGAGTAAATTAGAGCCGTTATGTGAACTATTAAACAGATTAAAATTAATAGAACAGAAAAAAATAGTAGAGTAAGTAAGCTATCACAAAAATAAAATTACAACAGGTGTGAATTTGAAAAGAGCACTTGGTGTTTTTCCACATGAAGTTAAAATGTATGAAGGTCATGCGCCCGAAATAGCCTAGTACGCTAGACAGTGCAAAATCGATTTTTATTGATTTTTCTCGAAATGCACGTTTAGTGGTAGGGTGATTTAATTAACTACAGCATTTGGGGTTGACGAATTCTGTATGATTTCCAGGCCATTCTCTTTGAGGTTATTGCCCATTGGAGGCTTCATAAATTTTTTTTGGCTCCCAAGTGATGCACAGGTGATAATTAAGTATTAACCTAACGCAACTCACGAAAATAACTTAGAATTAACGCACCTTATAGGGATCTAGATCGACTGTGTTTGACTGCGATGAGGTCGTCGTGGAAGTCTCAGGTGAAATAGAAAGCTTCACCATGTCAGCTGCAATGGGATCCGCCAAAGTTGGCGTCATATCGAATTCTGCCTGCAAAACAGATATACAAGCGCAAATTAAGAATTTGATTGGTCCTTAGCAGACTGAAAAAATCAAAGTTGGTATGCGCGATTGCTCAGACTATTTTTTCTCTCTGACGAACTCTACATTAAAACAAAAAAACTCTACTTCTACGAATTAGCAATACCACACCGTATGACCCTCTGTTGTCCAGAGTTATTGATAAAACAAAGGCATTATCGTTGTTGAAATATTGAAAAAGCAGGAAAAAATTTGGCTTTTTAGAGGAAAAATTTACCAACAGGCTAAAAGTACTTATACTTCTTGAAAAGAGTCATCAAATTTTAAACACAACACGATTTTTTGCCTAGTTTTCTCCTACCGCTACCCATGACCATGGAGACTCATCAGATCCCAGCACTAGCCAATCACATTGTCGCATAAACCAAGTCAGGTTTTCCGTCACTAACGCTTCACCCAAAAAACAAATTCTTTAACTAATCGAAAAGCTTTAACGAGTAAATTGGAGCCATTATGTGAACTATTAAACAGATTAAAATTACTAAAACAGAAAAAAATAGTAGAGTAAGTAAGCTATCACAAAAATAAAATTAAAACTGGAGTGAATTTGAAAAGAGCACTTGGTGTTTTTCCGCATGAATTTAAAATGTCTGAAGGTCATATGCCGAAAATAACTTATAATTAACGCACCTTAAAGGGATCTAGGTCGACAGCTTTTGACTGAGATGATGCCGTCGTGGAAGGCTCTGCTGAAATAGAAAGCTCCACCATGTCAGCTGCAATGGGATCCACCAGAGTTGGCGTCACATCGAATTCCGCCTGCAAAACAGACATCCAAGCTCAAATTACGAATTTGATTGGTTCTTAGCAGACTGAAAGAATCAAAGTTTGTGTGAGGGATTTCTCAGATTATTTAAACAGAAAAACTGGTACGAATTAGCTATATCACACCGTATAACCTACAGTTGTCCAGTGTTATTGACAAAACATAAGCGGACTAAAGGAGTTAAGAGTAAAGCAGGTAGTTTCAAATGCAAATTACAAAAAAATACTAAGTTGTACCTCTTCGTAGAAGTCTTCCGACGACGCGTTTGGGGAGCTGCACGGTTCCTTTACTGCCGAGGACATTGTGCTGGTATTTGCAGAGGGCTAAAAACCAATGACTACCGCATCGTCTGACCCACCTGTGTTTTGGCTGGTGGAGGTATCTGCGACACACTTTCACGCTTCTCCGACAGTCTAAAATGACTTCCATCGCTCTGAGTCTTGAGACTGGGGTCGTGAAACCTATTCCCCGATATAAACAGCGGCTAATGGTAAATAGAGAAGTGCGTTAGCGATCGATATTCACTGTTCGTTTTAAATGCATTCCTGCGCGGGTAATTTTCGTGTAAGTTGACAGGAATAATCGATTTTTATCGTGGCTCGACGGTAGCCCCCTCTGATACCTTCGTCAAATTAACACTTTTAAAGCTATTTTTTTTTATTGAATTAGTGGATTAGAAACCATTATCCTAATTTTGGAGTTCGGAGAACATTGTTTCATTGCACCGACAAAGTGGTTACGTTTACCATGAAAGATTCAATCAAGGTAACTTTGTAGATGCTAAATTTATGTTAACGCATGTACTATCGTGATCCAGCTACAAGGCACTAGTGCCTAGACCCATAGTTACTTAGGGCTTAGATTAGCGAAACTACAGCCAACAGTCCGCCGGCACATCACCAATCGATAAGCGGATCAGCCGCCAGCCAATAATCAACGGGAAAGCTCGATCAGCGGTTCCCACTGTCTGATAACCCGACAAGTACTTCATGTACTTGTAGCATAGCACTTTTTGCGGTTATTTTGATAGAACGCTCCTTAACTTCAATAGGGTAGCACATTCGACGAGTGTTTTAATTAATTGACATTAAATAGCTTAAAAAACTATTCGAATACCAATCTTGGCGCCACAAATAGGGTACAATTAATTTAAATTGAAAGTCCAAAGAATCACTATTTGAGAATTAGTCAACGACCTAACGTCACAACACTTCAAACTAATTTGAGTTAAAGTGAAGTGTACTAAGTCAATTATCAAAAACTCATACCATGGCAACCCGCGAGAGAAGGAGAGCAGATTGTTATTATTAACCAAGAGAAGAGCCGTTAAGCACAGCAAGCAATAACTCAATGCAGGTTCCAACCAATCAACGAAAGCCAAACTCTTGCTGCCACCTTCAAGTCCACCAATGACTTGGTGGTGTGCACCAGAGCACATCCGTTTACTGCTCACAACAGATGACTGTGCGATGGTGCAACAAGTCTCGATTTTAAAAGTTGCGCTAAATCGCACGTTCAAACAACTTTCAGTGAGAACTTCCGTGCGCTGTTCGGGCAATTTGACTACATCTAAGCCCCAATTATTTTGACTGCAACGAAGGCTATCGAAATGCCATACCCCTTCCCACATTGCGAATTAGTCAGACATGTAAACTATGTCTTGTTGGTGCTATTCACAGCGGAAGCAACGAGAGAAAACTTAGTCAGTTTTATTCTAAAAATAGTAGAAATTACAGGACTTGTTATAAAAGGTCATTGGTATAAAGTTGTAGTGAAATAAGAAAGATAATATACGAGACGTCACTGGGGTCTGTCTTCAGTCTGAAAAGAAAGAGGAAATGTAAAAAAAACTAAGTAAAAAACACGAAAAATAAAAAAAAAACTTGATGGTAGGGGCAAGTGGCTGATCCACGAGGACCAGTGGCGTCGTTAAGCCAGAAGCCCACTTAAACAACAAATCTACCCAATGAGAAGGCGCACCAGTGACGAGCTGGTTTGGGGCCAATTTTTGCGAAACCATAATAAATGGGGCCGAAATGAGGCCAAAATGCTTCTTCTTACGGCTCTCAACGTGTCACAAGAAGGTAACATGCGTTGTTGGCATGTCTGCCAAGCCATAACACATACATGGGCAAATTCAATGTGGGTTTTCGCGTGGGCCTGCGAGGCAAACGTCCTGTCGCAGAGGGGACAGGGGTGAACTATCAATGTTGAGGCCTACAAAAGAAACCAAGAATACATCTCAAAGACCAGGAAACGGCAAGCACTACTCACAAGAGTGGCTTAGTAGTAGCTAGGCCACGAGCGCAATACAAACTCTCACTCGCACTAAAACGATTGTGGAATTATAGGCAACACACAACACGTGCTGCTAACGGTAGCTACATCAACAGGCGGCAATTACAACAAAATGGTGGTTAAAACATGAAAACCACGAACCTTCGAGGTGGAGTTGGACGCTGACGCGGTCACTTTACGCTGAAGTAAAAAAAAAGACACGTCTTGATTGAAGTCGGCACGTTTTGAGTGAAATCTACCAAGACACAGAAAAAAGAGCAACCTACATGCTCAGCGCTTTGCGCATGTTCGCGAAACTCGGCTTCGGTGTTCGAGTAAGTACGACAGTCGATGCAGTAGAACAGAGACGTCTGCAAGAAAATACGTAGCTAAGAGCTCTTCACGCTACCTGCATGTCGAGTCGACGCCAGCTGGGTCAGCACGAGGCAGCTGCGTGCCAGTGAGACCAGACACGACACGCGGTGTTCGTCGAGTTAAAGCAGAAGAAACATTTGATTGATTGCAGAAAAGGCAAACCCTATTGGCGCAGTTACCAACCAAGTCTGCCCTCAAGGTCACTCGGGTGACCACAAAAGCCCTCTACGTTGCACTAGAAGGGTGGAACCTGCGTGACACAGGGAATCCTCGTATTGATTCGTAGTGAAGATGGCAACACAACCCCAAACCAACCCACACGGCTGCTTGACCCAATGCAGCACGGTGCACATAGTGTGCGCGACTCGACTGCAATGCAAGTTATTAATTAACCACTTGGAAAAGCCCACAATGCCAACTCACCTCTGGCGTTTCACCATCCGCAGCTCCCTAAAATCGGAATGCACGAGTGGTTATTATTAGGCGAGCGACTTTACTTGTACCGATTATTTTCTTCGTTGACAAAATCATACTTAAAATAGAAACGCTTTCGCGGTCTTTGGTGGTTTCAAAGTAACCTGACGCAGCGTTTCACAACACCGAACGACAGACCTGCGTGATTTACTTAACCTCTCGGAATTGTGTAGTTTACAATGGCAACTGATAAACAGCCCACTCGATGGCGCTGCACTTCCATCAAGGGAAAAGTGCTTCTATAGCACGGGTAAATCAATTTGTAGAGTTCTCGGTGGCGAGGTTGTTTCTCATGAAACGTAAGTTTCGTTACAAAAGTTTTAGAAATGATGATTTCCATCTTGTTGACCAGCCGCACCAAAGACAGCAGCCTCGTATTGCAAGCTCTAACGGACGAAGACTCAACGCAAATGCAGCGAGAGCTTGCAGCTCAATTAGGCGTCACCCAAACAGCTATTTCCAGGCGTTGGCACCACTAAGTGAAAGAAATTCAAAAACTTGGATGTTAGGTTTCCCCACAGGTGTTGATCAAACACAACCTAGGTCAGCGAATAAACATGTGCCCTTCACTGCCTGCTTGCCGGCGACGAGCAGTAAATGGCCCAACTGTGAACGTGGGCTTTCCGCACTGTCCCACGTGCCTCCCGACTACACTGACCGTCTTCAATCAACCACGTTGACTGCAGATCGTTGGATTTTCGGGTTTCAAACCGCCGACAACCGTCCATGTGCGGTGGCCCATTTCCCTCTTCAATCAATACACCCCAACTTCACTGTGCAACGCATCGCGCAAACATCTACACGAGGACTGAGAAGCCAACACACACACACACACACACCAACCTGTCAAGCATACACTCAGGCAGATCGATTATAACACTCAACCACATCACACGGCAAAACACGCCACACACTTACGTGCCGTGTTTGTTCCACATGTTTCTGATACGCGGCCGCGTTGTCGAAAGGAGTTTTACACACGACGCAGAAGTATTCATCTGACTGCAAAAGACAACTGCTCCTGATAACCGCACTACAGTGTCTAACAAAAACTGTTCACGCAAAATGCATGCACTTCCACTGCCGTATCAAGTCGACGTGAGTTAAACTAGCAAGGAGATCCTAGCCTGCACTTGATGGCTGCTACATGCCCATGAAACCAGACACGATATGCGCAATCGGGACACCACGACACCATCGTTCGGCAAAAGGTAAATGTCATTGGCTCATTGAAAAAATAAACTAGCAGTTACCACTGCAACTTAGTGCGCATGCTGTGTAGCTCGACTGCAATGAAAGTTATTAAATCACTATCAGAAAAAGCACAGAACACTGATTGGGCGTAGAAATACACAGCAACTCACCTCCGGCCTGTTGACATTCGTCGCTCCCTGAAATTAGACGGCACGAATAGTTAGCGCTA